CCCCAAAACCCCAAAACCCCAAAACCCCATGCTTATCATTTTTAGTTATTTTGAAATTTGATAAAATATCATTAAAATAAGTTTTCAACTTTCTTAGCTTTTTCATTCATCTTTGCCTGAGATATCCACTCATTTTTATTTTTTAACTTCTTTTATTTTTCAATCTCAATAATTCTCTTCTGCTCCTCCATAAATGTCTGCTACAGTCCATTTATTGTCTTTTTGTCTACACTATGCTCATTAATTGTATCAATATCTTGCTTGGTCTTTTTAGATGTGATCAAATCTTCGAGATCATTCTTGGTCACAAATTTCTTCTCCTTCTGTATCTCATCAAGCATACTGACTAATAATTCATTTTGTTCAGGCCCAAAGCTAGTCTTTACAAATACTTTTTCCTATTGATTATTGAAGTTTTCCATCATTTTTCTATGCTCCATCTGATCTATCAACTCCTTTCTAGTTGTTTTCTGATTCTAAATTCTCTTAAAGTTTTCCATCTCTATCTGTTTCTGGTCTTTTTCAATCGAATGGTAGAAGTTTTCTGCAAGTTTCTTTTTGTGCTCTTCCTTTTAGCGTAACTCATCCTCATATCTTAACCAAGCTCTATTCATTGTTAATTCCATATTTTAAGTTTGCTTAACTTTGTAAGGATAATTGTTGAGAGCTTTTGCAAAAGTAACTCCAGTTGAACTTGGTAGAATTAATGATGTATTATTGTTATTGTTCTCTGAGATATTTTCAAGATTGCTAACTCTGAATGGTCTGCTTTAAGATAGCGATTTGGCCTCAGCTTTCCTCTAGTACTATTCAATAAGTTCTTATTTCTGCAAATCCTTGATCATTTGTCTCTGCTGCTCAATTGTATCACCGTGAGTGAATGGAAAGTAGTTAAGTCTGTCATTTAACTTCTACTCTTGCTCCATCTTATTCTGCATTCTTTTTTCCAAAAGCATTGCCTCATTCGCCTATAAAAAGTCTAATTTCTTTCTAAGTTTGTCATTCTTAAACTTTTATTGATCTAGTTTGAGTCTATCACCAAGCATTTGAACTTCTCTTTACTCTTTGTCTAGTTTATTTGCCCTCACAGTATCCTTATTCTCTTATTTAGTATTAATTTGATCAATTATATGTCCAAGTATCTTGGATTGATCCTCTGATTAGTTAAACTTTACCTTTTTTGAAAATCTTTAGCCAGTTCTCCTTTCTATAAAAGCTTGTAAAAATGGAAAAGGTATTTATTTTTAAGAGTCAATAGATTAATATTCAGTTCCTGATTCATTATTTGGCAAGCTTTAAAGTCTATTATTGTTTCCAGAGGTAGCCCCATTAGTCCTGAATCTATTCCAATTTTCGGCTGTTTGATTCATTTTTTAATTCTTTCTTATACTATTTGCCTCTGTAGAATGGGCTCTCACGCTATGATTTGATTTGCTGTATGTTGAAAGTGTTCCTGGAGTTCTCACACTTAAGTTTTCCATGAAATCACTTCTAATTGAGATTGGACCTCCCCCTCTACCAATTTAACTCAGCATAGCACTTGCTGTATCTATAATACTAACATCATCTCTTATTGTTTCATTATCTCTATTCCTATTTTTGATATTAGCATCAGTTTCAGCTTTTGATTCGAACAATAACTCTCCATTTCTTTTTAAATGAAGATTCCCTACCTTAAAATCAAGAATAACCTCATGCCTAGTAGTTCTGCTCAACTCTATTAAAGCGCTGAAAAAATCTGTAAGCACTCTTTAAACTAAGGCAGTACTTAAGTTACATACCAAAGCTATCGCCTATTCATTTATCTAGCTAAACAAGTTATTATCCTTAAAGCCCTATAGAATTAGAGTTATCTCTTAATTGACTCATAATAATATACTTACTTTGATGATCTCTTGCTATTTATCAAACTCAGGCTGTTTTTTATTCTTAAATTTACCTGCTTCGAAGTAATCTTAACTAACCAAATATACAATCTTGCCATCTTTTTCATAGAAGCATCCGATATATTTTGTATCAACCAATCTTTATTTGCTTTGTATTTGACTCCTGATGAACTTGACAAACCCAGACCATATCCTGTAAGTATTTCTAAATTCGTCCTTCGAGATCTCTTTCTTATCCTAATCAGGACTTAATGCCATACTTTTTATTGCCTTATTGACAACTTGCTTAATAATATCAATCTCTGAGAGAGACATTGATGATTATTGAATCTTATTGCTGTTGGCATTGTTAAGCTTCTCAAGAGCTTCTTTATTCATTCTAAATAAAATATAATTAACTTTAGTTTTTTCTTATTTTGCTCACTATTAAAAACTTTATACTAGAGGGGTTTTGGGGTTTTGGGGTTTTGGGGTTTTGGGG